AGAAAAGTAGGAAAAGGAAATCAACCCAACAACCCAGCCTTGTTTCATTGTAATGGAAAGGGATAGAACATCTAAAAGCATCCTCAAAACAGCACAGCCTCAGCATGTAAACCAGACACCCAAACTCTGTTGACAGCTACTACAAAGTACAGATAGTGACAACAAAACCTGCTGGAACTGCCAGCTTTAGAGAGGAAGGGCTCCTTTACCTCCCGAGGAACAAGCGCGGCGGTGACAGAACAAGGGGCCACCTCTGGAGGATTCCTGACACCTCACCGTGGCGTGGAGCCCAATTTGTGGCCCAGCTTTCTGCAGCCTGATCTGAGGAGCTGCTGAGTCCCCACCCCTGCTGGGAACAGAGGGCTCCTGCTCCGTGGGATGGATGTGGCTGTTCCCACTTCCCACCCCGGGCTCTTACTCACCCGTGGCCCAGAGGGGAATGTTTCGGGGAGGACGAAGCTTCTGAGGCATCTTCCTCCTCCGTGCAGCCCCAAGGCAGCTGTTCCCCACCTGCAAGCAGCAAGGTCTGATATTATCCAAGCATAGATGTGTCAGTCTCCCTGCAGTTGTGATCAGATAAGGGGAAATCCATACATTTAAACCAGCTGATCCATTATACAAACAACAGCCCCCAAACTTCTCCAAGCAGGGAGAATGAGCAAAACAGTCCCTGATGGCCTGTAATGACTCAGGGCAGAAAAAAATCTGTCTGGTATTGATTATTTTAAGGTTTTAGAAACACAAGCAGAGGGCATGAGGCTGTGGAGAAGCCTGGATAATTAAGAGCCTCGTTATCTGCTCCATGAACATGGGCTGCTGGGGTGTTTAACCTGGGAGAGTGTGCTCCTTACTTAAGGAACAGGGAGTGGGGAGCATGACTGCTTAGATTAAACCATGTGCTGAGGGATTACTAGGATTGTTTCTGTAGGAATTATTCTAATAAAACACTGAAAGGCTAAACTGTACTAATAATCCAACAGGTGATGGAAATACCACCTGTGCAGGGTGGATGTATTGACAACAGAGAGAGTTTCCTCTACCAACCTGCACATGGTGTGAGAAGACTAATGTGTAAAGTGGGTGATAAAGGCAGGAGAAGGAAAGGAAAGGATAAAGGTATAGAAAGATATGCTTAAGGCTTGGCTCCTTGGAGCAGCCTTTTTCCTCCTCCTCCTCCAAATGATCCCATCAGCATCTGATGACCATCCTGTGCTGCTGCTCCTGCCCAGGAGGAGGTTTGCAGGCTGGAAGGCACAAGAACGGATAAATCAGTAGTGGATTTTGCCCTGATTTAATTCAGTTTGTGCTATGCAGGAGGACAAATTTCATGTGATAATTTTAATGAGCTTAATGTGTAGAAAAATGGATATTTAGCCCCCCGAACCCTCAGAATTCAGAGGCAACATCACACATATCTGCAGGTTTGGGTGCTTTTCCTTCAACTCCACATTCAGGCATATGAGATATTAATTATCTGAATTAACACTCACATTTAGGGATGCACGGAAGCCTCGCTGAGAATTCCAATGGTTCTCTGCTAGCAGGAAACATTTACACAATATAACCCCCACCACCTCAGCCAGGCTTATATTTTATCTTAGAAAAAGGGAAAAAAACCATTCACATCTGAGATAACAACCTGTTCTGTGTCTCTTAAACCAGAATTGTGTAGGAATGAGCTTTCATCAGAGGAAGAATCTTGCTTAATTATGGTGAAGGTCTCAGCAATCTTACCTCCTCTGTGCCAGGCAAAATATAAAACAAGCTAAAAAATAGTACAAAAGCAGAAACATAGCAGAAGGTGCATGGAGAAAAGAGCAGAAACAGTTCTAGTTTATTCCTTTCCTGTAATACCAGGTGACTAATGTAGCAGCCTGCACATTGTTTCCCCATTAAAATCAGCATCATCAGAATGTCTGTGTTCCATTTTCCCCTACTCAAGTAAGGTAAGGGCCACAGGAATGCAATGAATCTGCTCTTGTGAATGTGGAGCAACAGCCTATTTTAGATGGCTTCAGAAATAAGATCCCAAGTGGAAAAAAGTCTAAGAATAATTTTCAGCCCGAGACTTGACTTGTCAGAAAATGCAGTTCAGGCAAAGCAGAACTCCAGGTGAATCCGTGATGAACTCAATGAAAGTGAAACAAACCCAGTTTTCCACAAACAGAAGCATTGAGAAAGCCCAATAACCTTAAACCAAACTTAAATATTTGTTTGAGGTGTCAAAAAAGCGTCTGGAGTCAACCCAAGAAGCAGTTTGTGTAAGATGTGGTGGTCCCAATGGCCTCCTGGGACTGAATTACCTGCTGTCTGTAGGAGGTTTTCATCTGGAGTTGTTTGGAACAGAGAGATCTCCCCTCTTTTTGAGGTAAAATTTGGCTGTCTAACATTTCCTAGCAGACATCTGAACTGTTTGGGAAGAACCCAGGAGGTGACAGACCCATCTGACATCGGTGGGGACTGAGAACAGCTAAAAGCGTGCCAGGAGACCCTACTTGAGAAAATACAGGAATTTTCCAGCTGCAGAAGGAGCCAAGCAGACCAATGCTTTTGGAAACTGCCAGGCTTCCTAGCAGTCATTAAAGACTGGTTTAGTTTTTAAGGAAAATAACCTCCAAAGGGTGAATTTCCACTCATTTGACAACCATCTGTGCAGTCCAGAGGCATCCTCACGTGCCAGCAGCTATCCCTGCTCTCCCCCAGTGTGATAATCTCTGCTCTCCTCGAAGGGGTGGGCTGGGTTTGCTCTGAGAACGTTGTCAGGAGAGCATATTTCACACACACAGAAAAATCTTCTTTCATCATATAAATATATCCCACTGTTGCTGCTTTTTAAAAGTGAATTTCAAGGCAAGCCAGAAAATAACAACCAATACCTTCAAACACTGGGAAGATTAATCACTATGTGGGAACACGGGAAGAAAAGCGGATCATATTCATTGTCCACAGACTAGAAGACAAAAAAAAACCCCCAACAAACCCATATATTCTTTTGGTTCTGCTCTATGTTTTGGCCAAAGATGAAACACAGCCATACATTTTCATTACCTGCCTCAGAGCTCTCGTGGTTTATATCAGCCCCACTGCCCCAGCTGCCCCCTGGGTTAATAATTGTGCCACAGGGTCAGTGGTTTCAGCAGAGCTGTGACAGTTTTCAGCTCTGGTGCTGAGTCTGAAGAGGATCCTGCCCAACGGGGAGAGTTTTAGATGAGGATTAGTGTGTGAATTCTTCTGGACTAATAGATAAGTGCTACAATAATTTAGGACAGATTTCCAGCTTGTGGTTAGCAGACCCTTGGGGTTAATACACTGCTCAGTAGCAATCTATTAAAAAATACTGGAGAAAAAAACCAATTTCATATAAACCATATGGGAAGATACACAGAGGACGTTTGTCTTTAGGAGACAAGTCAAAGACTAAAACCTACCAGTTTACACACATTGCAAAGAAATTTATCAAAGCAGCTGCTACAGGACAAGCAGTTTTGGAATCTTTCAGCAAGAGATAACAGTATGAGAAACTTTGGGGTCAGATTATTAATCAGAGTTATTAATTGGAGTTATTAGACTTGATGGCAAGGGAGCCACGGAGGTCCTCAGGCCATTTGTCCACAGACAGGGTAAGTTACTGTCCAACGCTGCTGATTTTAATTGGATTCTCTCTGACACTTTTTAGGAAATCCTTGATAAACTCACTGGATCAAATTTTCGACCCCCCCTTGATTGTTTTCCTGAATTGATGCAGAGAGACCCTGAGTGGGCTGCAGAGTCACTCCCCTGCACGTGGTCAGTGAGAAGCCTGAGCAACCAGATCCATCTTAGAGCCAAAAGTATTTTCCCCCTTGCCCTGGTGCCAGGCTCATTTCCCTTAAACTTTAATGCCTTTGAGCCAGGCCATTATGAGCCAGGCCAAGAGAAATAAGGACACCTCAGAGCATTTGAATGGGATAACATAAATACTTCCACTGTAGGGAAAAGGAAGCATTTCCAAAGAGCTAAAAGTCATTTAAACTGTGGTGCTGCAATGAAAATTCCAGCTTATAGCTCTCTATATTGGCCATCCTCGGGTGACCACTAAGGCTTGGCTAAAATCATCTGTCAACTGTAGCTCAGGCTGGAGGGTGAAGCAGATCAGGAGATCCCTTTGGGCAGTTATTTTAAGATTTAAGGGCATTTTATTGGCACCACTCAGATGTCACCAGCCTCCTTCTGGAGTGATGCAAAGCTGCCAGGTTATTGATTGGGATAAATTGCACAGATCCTGGTACCTGTCAGGTGAGGTCCCTCCCCAGGGACTTTCAAGGTAAGCAGAATTTAAACCTCTTCCAAGGAGGTCAATAGTACGTAGGGAAAAAAGAAAAATATCAGGTTAATGGGGCAGATGTTCCAGCAACTAAATGTATTTCTATTCCCTGTAGAGAGGAGTAGAAGTTGTTGAAGCGCTTTGCCAAATTACAGAATTACCCTTTTCCCTGCCCAGCCATTAACCAAAACAGGAAAGCAGAGCCCCTGCGGAGTTCAGCATTTCCAGGGTGGGAGTTTCTGTGCCAGATCATCAGGATCCAGGCCAGAAATAAAAGCTAAGATTTTAAACCATCACAGGAAGTCATCAGCTAAAACCATGAAAGAAGAGTCCGCACTTTGCAGAGGTGCTGGTGTCACAGTCCTATTTTGCAGGTTATTTTTTTCCCCTCAGAAAGGCAGGATTGTTGCTCTGTTTTAAAAATAAACTTTTTTTGAGCGTCCATGTCCCCCTGCAAGGCCAAATCCCTTCAGCTGGTTGTCCTGGACACCGCACTGAGCTCCCTGTCAAACCCTGAAATACAGAAAGGGCTCAGTGCAGCCCAAAATAACTTCTAAGTCACCTTCAGGGTGAAGTTCATCCATCCTGACCTGAGAAACAGGTCACTCCAAACCTCGCTGGGATGAATCACTGTCTGCACTATATTTATCCCGAGCCTGGGGAGGTCTGCACCAAACTGTGGACATTTTGCCAGTCTGAGCCCAGTGAGCAGAGATGTCCCACCTACCTCGTGGCATCTGCAAGGGCATGGCCTGTAGGTGCCTCGTCATCCTGGCCCTCGAGAGGACACTGCACTCTCCTGACAGAGGAGCTCCCTTTCCCAGTGTCATCCAGTATCCTGACTGTGGGGCTTTGCTGGTGCCAGATGGCCAGCACAGCCCCCCTGTTGTGCTGGGAGAGACAAAAGTTTCATCCTCCAGGTTGCTGCTGACTTCAGAAATGTCCTCAGAGGCCTCTCAATTTTTCCTGGATCAGTATAAAATAAAACAATTTCTTGGTGCTGAAGCCCTGTGAAACAGGAAAATGCTTTTCCTTGCTGGTGTCTCCGGGTGGTCCCAGCCCAGACTCACCACCTGGTCATTCCACATCTGTTGTGGAAGAGGTCCCATGGAATGACAAATCTCATAGCTGGACCCACAGATCCAACTATATTTCAGCTTCCCTTTTCCTACCTTAATCTTGCACACAGGGCAATGCCTAATCCACGTGAAAGAAGAAAAATCTTCCTTGGATCCTCATCCAGGATAAGCAGTTCCTCTTCAAGGACCCCAACAAACCCTGTATAGATCGATGCCTTCTCCCCCTCCTCCGTGTCAGGGTGACACTCTGCCTGGCTGAAGTGCCCAAAAAAAAAATGGGAAAGGAGGTATTTGTGTTGCTGAGCCTTGAGCTGCTGTGTTAGCTCACAGTTTTTAATCCTGGTCTCCTGTGGGCTGCTCCAGCCGTGCACGCTGCATACAGATGGAAAAGGCTCTGACCAGGTGGCCAGGCTGCAAAACAGAAAATGAGAGCTGGAGAAAAATAACAGTTATGGGATTATAAAACTACCTGCCAGGTATCAGAAATGCAAGGGAGGGGAAATTCAAGTAGTTACAGGGGAAGGGAGAGGTAAGGAAATTGTTGTCTCAAGGTGGCATCCTCCTGTCTCAGCTTCAAAAAGGAAAAAAACCCCAGAGGTTTCTTGGTCAAGATGTGGAAGACATGACCTGTGGGGACATCAGCCTTGCTGATGGGTTGCTGCAATGCTATCACTTCATGTTGCTGATATTCTCCCAGGTTTTGGGGCTCTTGGAAGCCAGAGACACTTGGGACAAGCTGAGCTTCCTGGGAGCACAGGCCCAGGAATGCTGTAGGAGACATGGAGTTAATCAGCGTGGCCTGTCCAAGCACCTCTGTAGGAGTAGTTAGCACTGTAGGGAGGCTGGAATTGCTCATTTTCTCAGTGGTTGGTAGGGAAAAAGCAGTGTCACCTGGTGGATTCTGGAAGGCTGTTGCTTTGTGTCTGTCTCAGTTGGTCAGGGGTTTTTTCCAGCCGTCACCCCGGCACAAGTCACCGAGCCCATGATGGCCCTTGGGCTGTGTGGGGTGGAGGAGGGAAGACATGGGACTCACCTGCAGGATGGATGGAGCAGCAACATCCAGGAGCATCTCAAATCCAGGCTGGGAAGCCTGCAGGAGCCAGGGAAGCCTGTGTGTACTTGGCCAAAGGCAAACCCAGCCCAGCCTTTAGTGCTTTGCTAATGGCCTGCTTCCAGAGATTTCCCCCCAAACTTGCTCAGGGCTCTTTCCATTTCATCCTGGAAAATCCCAGGGTTGTCATCAGAAGCTTAGAGAGATAGAGGAGGGGAAACTTCAGCCCCCAAACACCTATTGCTGAGAGTTGTCCTGGAGAGGAGGAAAAATTCAGGGACAGGTGCTCAAATGGTTGATGGCAAAACACCTGTTACATGGAAGGGTCTCTTCTCTTGAGGTACCTGTCCACCTTCTTGCTCTTTGAAAGGATTTTTGCACCTGGTGGATCAAACTTTGGAGGACAGGGAATACAGTTATGGTACCAGGGCTGGAAAGGCCTTTCAGATCTAACAATTATTTTTTTTTTTCAAACAACTTGGAAGCCTGTGTGTGGTTCTAAAGAGATCTGGTAACTCAGGTGGCAGTTTGGAGTCCAGCACAGAAGTTATTAAGTGACATCTCTGAGCCACGTGTATAAAACCAGAGAAGATATTGATAATGGTTTTCTCCCTGGTTACAATCTACTGCATTTATTCTCACTGCACAGCCAGAAACCACCTTTCCAGATATTGCATTATGTTATCACTCCAGCACCTCCCTGAGATGGCCGTAGTAGGTCCCAAATCAGATAAAGCCCAAGCTCATCAGGGCAGCCAGCCTTTAAATCACCATTTAAAAGAGGCTTTATCACTCCCTGCTTCAAGCTCTGCAGCCACAGCGTGAGGCACGAAGCAGGTTAGGATTCAGCTCACCTTGCTCCAGATTGAATGTTTCCCAGATTCTGGCCTCCATCACTCCCAGCCCAGTGTGTGGTTCATCCTGAGGGTCTGAGAGTGAGTTAATCTCGTGGAAGAGACGGATTCAATGATATTTAACCGAAGCTGGCAGGGGCAGCATGAGGAGAGAAGCAGTGACAATCCAAGAGCAGGACCACACCTGCATCCCTCCAGGTTAAAGTGAGATCAGCTTGCAGCCATCGGACCCCAGCTGCTGATCACAGCCCAGGGAAGGGCTGGAAAGTGGGATCACACTGTCAGCTGGGGTGCAGAGGTGGTGTGGGGACACACAAGGGACCCCCAGGGTGGATGAGTCTGCTCCCTGCTCTCAGAGCAGGGACATCACAGACTCCCCTTCATTATCACACAGGCACCAGCCACTCCACAGGCATCCCATAAATCACAGCTTGTTGCAAAGCTGGCGGGTGGGTGCCCTGGGCCATCCTGGAGCTGGAATCACACGGCTGTGGCAGTCACAGGCACCAGCACCCCGAGCTCCCCGGGGGCTCTGGGTCAGCCAGCCGAAACCCAAACCTCTCATCTCCCAGATTCTGCTCTGAGGAAGCAATACTTTAAACTTGTTTGCGGTTCTCTCTCCCTGCTGCTGTGTCAGGCA